AATTTAAATATCACTTGCTTAATGTCAAAATGTAATTTTATATGTCATTGTTACAGATTCGAAAATCCAGGAATGAACGAAATCAATGAAACGTGCTCCAGAATCAACGGTTCAAGCTTTCTACTAAATGAAACTTCTCAAACATAAAATTCAATCATCATTGTCCATGGTGTTGTAGATTCATTAGTACTAAAATTGTTCATCTAATAAATCGTGTCATAAATTACAGATGAATGAATTTTTATTTATTGCCTTAATGACAGAATGGAGTAGAAAATGGACTGTTAATTATCAAGCAATGTTCTACATAAAACATTGACCGTGAGTTCGCGTACAGGGTTCAGGAACGCCAAAACCAAATATACTATTTACATTTATTCATGCATTACAAACTCTACAAGCAAAACTTGCAGCTAGTAAAAATGTTCCGTGAAATAGTGTATTTAACTGGAGTTTTTGAGTATGTCACTTTGAAGGTCATTAGTTCCATAAGTGTAGTGAGTATTATTGTTATACCTGGAATGGTCGGTTGCTCCCAGCAGGAAAATGATGAAACCTGGCACCAACACATATGTTCCCCGGCCGAACACGTTTTTGCATTATTACAAGAATTTCAGAGAAAGCTGACCGGCCGACAGAGCTGACCAGCTGACAGAGAAAGCTGAATGGCCGACGAGGCTAAAGCGTGTACCGACTCAGTGCCTCGGACACGGGTTCGATTCCCGCCTTGGGCTCCCTTGTTTGTTCTCTCTTTCATAATGTGGGTTGTCGCGGAAGGCCTTGTGAGTCTGCTGACCACAGACTGAGTAACCCGCAAGTGTGTCAGTCTGTAGAGTAAAGGCTGATTCGTGTCACCAAGAGATGCATAGTCAAAAAATCGACACCCGCAAAACTGAAAGAAAAAAGTATTTCAGAAAAAATAAATACACCCAACAGTGAAAATCGTTATTGTACGAGTTCAGTAGTCACTTCTGTGCGTTTCAGTACCGCGTAGGGATGGTTGTTTATTTGCATCATTCACCTTGGTGGGGTTTCCAACCAATCACGCGCCAATTTGTATGGAAAAATCCTTCCATGGCCTATTTGGAATGCACAGAAGCATGTTTTTAAGGTCTTCTTGCGTTTCACACCATAAGTTATGTGACAGTACAAGAAAACAATGTATTCTAAGAAAAAAATTAAACATGACACAACAATAATACACTTTCACAAGGAAACCAGAATGGATTATAAACTGAATAATAAAGGATGAATAAATAAATATGAATAATTTATGAATTATGAACTGTATGTAAAATTTGTCAAAAACATAAACAACTAATGAATGCAAAAGATTAAAAATGAGAATCGTGTCATGTCCCAAAGCCCTTATATTTAAAACAACTTCCAGATTAACAACGCTCCTTCTCTATTGTTCTTACCCACCCGGACGTCTAGGCTATGTCAAGTTGTTCAATGCCTTTGTGTACAAACATCTTCCACTTATCTGATTGCAGCGATGATAGGTTGTCTCCACTGGCTGCCTCCCTCGCAGTCCGTCTCTCTCTGAGGCGTCCGTTAACAGACACTGCCATGCACCACTGCTTCTTCGATTTTCGAACACTGTCAGCATAATTCACTTTCGTAAATTTACATCGCATTTAGAAACTTATCAACCTTTAACCACAACATTTTTCCGACCGCTCTCCTGGCGTGATTCTACCTCGGCGTCAGTCGACCCTCTCCGCTTTCGCCAGTTGCACCAGTCTCTCACCCCTTCGCTATTGCCCCTCTCTCTATCCAGTGCTTCCACCCCTACGCCCGCGTCCTCGACTCGGACGCCTGAGCTGTCCTCAGCAAACCCAGCCCTTGCTCGCCTCCGAAAGTATTTATAACTCCAGTTCCATAATTTGTCGTAAACACATTGTTTTGAAATGTGTATACATAAGTATATCATAGTGATTTCCACTCCATGCGTTCTGTAGTCGTGTTACAAATCTCTCAAAACATACAACTGTTTAAAAGGTTTCTAACAGCTACAAACATGCACAGCCAAAAACATTGGAGAGAATGTGATTGTTGAGTACCCTTTACTTCATTGTTCTATTTATTTTTCATTGATCTCTTCATTTTCTACTTTTTTTAAAATATGTATTTGCTACTTGTTCAATTGCATTACAATTTTCAAGAAGTTGGATAAAGAATGTTTATTTCGAACATAATGGGTTTAAGTATTTTTTCGCCCCAAAAACCGGCGAATCCCATTAAAGAGAGTGTAAATTAACCCAAGTAATATTTATAAGTAAAATAGTACTTTGCAGCTAGTAGTCACGTCGATAGAATGGAGATGATTGCTGTGATGAGACAGGAAAGGGGGCCCGAAACATAGTTCGGGTGGCCCCCTGTTGGGCTCTTGGCTTCGTCGTGGCAGTACTCTGGATATAGAGGAGGGACTAGTCCAGGAACTTTGTGAGTAGCGCATTGTTTCGACTCCGGCACCGGTCTGGAAAACCGGTCGCTCTGAACTAGTAGAGCGGCCCGACCCAGGCAATGTCTAGGGAGGTTTCCAAGAAATACACTGTGATTTGTGCAACTCTACCCCTGGCAGATATCAGCTGTTGACGGTTTCATCCAATCGGGAGCTTGAACGTCACCATGGTGACGTCATTATGGTGACGTTCAAGCTCCCGATTGGATGAAACTCTCAACAGCTGATACCTTCCAGGGTCAAAGTTGCGAAAATCACAATGTAAACCCCGTTCTGGCGGGACTCCGATATTCCTCGTGCCCTTTTTCTTGAACGAAGGATTGAAGAAAAACGGGTAGAGTAGGGGTACCAGTTATCGACCATTAAATTTTATGAAGCAATGCCAATCTCTGGATAATAAGTCATGCCTTCGCAACTGTATCAATAATTTGCGTTGTAACTTTCTTAGGAGTTCGAGGTATCTCCTGTGATGTATCTTCACGTGCTTTGGTCTTTTCTTAAGATTTTTGTGGAGAAAATCTCGGACAGGTCTTTAACACAAAATAGTTTCTATTTTGTGCCATTCAATATGTGTTCAGAATGTCATCAGAGCTCGCTTCGAGCTTTTGCCTTCGACTGTTTATTGTGTCAGAGAAGGGGAAGCAAGGTTATCGTTGGAGAAACGTTGCGCCAGTAATACCAGCTTGCCGGCCTACTTGTACGCCTGCGGGTCAGAGGTCAACGCTTAGGTGCCCACCCAGGTAAAAGACAAGTGCGAGGTAGGCACACGACAGGAACATACACTATATGGGTACTCCCCTTGCGACCGGCTATGCGTTACGCACGACTTCTATTGTTCTTGCAATCTCCATAGCCTACTTCAAAAAAAACTTTTGAAGCACGTTGCAATTTGTGACGATCCAAATTCTAATTATTTATTGTGTTTGACTTTTCAATCCAGATGGTTTCCTCCAGTTTCTATGTAAATTTATATCCAATGAAATGCGTATTTATTGAGTGTTTGTGTACACAATGAATACCAAGTATAATATTCATTCTGTTTCAACCATTATTTTTGTTCACACTTCGACTTCCCCGTAGCTAAGTTACGTAGAGTTTTGGGTCAAGATGCGATGATCAGAAAATTGAGAAGATCAATGCATTATGTATCATTTGTTTGTTATGAGCAATTCTAAGAAACTAAATATAAAAAGAACTTAGTATACACTTCAGCTTGTTCAATGAAATTCATTTGAAGGAGGATATTTGTCCATTTTCTAATGATCTATTATGAAAATGCTTATATAAACCTTTGTTTTCCTTGTGGACAAGGAGGAAAAAGAATATTGATAAGGGGTGTTCTTATCCTAATTTCCATTTCATCGTCCTCCCTCACTACATGTAATCACCAATATGAGTTTATTTGGAACGTACTATCAACCTTCAAAACGTCTGCCACCATCGCTTCTTTTAAAACAATGTGTAACATTTTATTTCTAATGATTTCAAAATGGAAATTAAATGAAACTTTCATAAAGGAATTCAATAAATTAAAGTAATCAATGATTTATTATGTAATTCAAAAGTACTTGATTGTTACCCTGGTTAACTGTCAAAACATCAAGATAGTTACATGTTGTGACGTGCAAATGACATATCGTTTAGTTTATCATAAACTGCAACACACGCAAACAGTGTTTGGTTTGCGCGTCAGTTTCGACGGAAAGCTTTTGCTGGTCACCGTCGTCCAAATTGTCGGGTCGACAGAAGCTGTTCCAAATTTATAGTTTTCAAATTAAATTTTCAAGTTTAGATAACAATTTTTTGTATTTGAAGTTTAAGTAGTCTCTGCACGCCTCTGGACAACGATCTTAAATTTAAGATAATTTCTAACTCATTACGCTCAGTCACTGGTGCTCAAAAATATACACAAAAAACGGGCTTCCTTTTACTATAAAGATTTTTTAATACCTGCGCCTTGAAGAGGTCATTTCGGTTTATCATCCGTTAAGATGAGGTTTTTGGTTATTTCAGGAAATGATTTTACCGGACAAGTTCAGTTAAAATGTGCAGAATAAATGTAAGCCCGAACAGAAATTGCTCTTCCTAGAAATATTGTTTATATCCGCCCCTGATTATTAACATAAGTAATTTATATCACATTTTTACGAGTACCTGTAATATACATATTTTTCTGCATGTAGGTACTTACATGAAAATATGAATGTTACAAACAATAAAACATTCTCGGTCATAAACATCCCATTAAAAGAAACAACTGATTCTAGCCAATTTTTAATGCCGAAAAATCAATCTTTAGTTGCAAATACGACCAAATTCCTGTAGTATATGATTTAACTTCAAAGGGATTGCGTACACAATGAATGACACTTTTTTGTACACCTCAATAACATATGTACACTTACATCATTAAACAAAGAATAACAGGATGTAGTGGGCGGCAACCTTTTTGTGATCAACACTTTCCTCAATGTTGAAAGAGGAAAATAGAATGACATTAGTCACAGGCGAAAAAGATTTTTAGAATGTCAGAGAAGCACAATATAAATTGAGTCAAGCTGCATCATATGTCAGTCCTTCATCTTCTCAAAATGAAACAGTACTGTTTTGTATTCTTGCATCTCTTCTTTGCTCTAGCACTATGCTGGGCACAAATGACTACAGTAAGATTATTATTATTATTATTATTATTATTATTATTATTATTATTATTATTATCAATGAGGTATTGAAATAATAGTATACGTTTGCTTCACTCCGAGAATTACACCCTCTCTTTTACCACACGTAGCAAATTTGTGAAAACATTGATTGATTGGTTATTCCGTGTTTTCGAGCACGTCAACTTTGAAAGCCATTAGTCTCGTAAGTGTTGCAAATATTTTTATCACAAGAGGGGGCGATGTCCATTCACCGCTGGATGGTGAGATTCGGCGCAAATTTATTTGTCAGCTTGCGGTGTTTTCACCAACAGGTATCTCCCAACAGCGGGACACCGACCCACCCGTTACAAGCCCTAATTTTCCGACCGATCTCCTCACACGTGTGGCAGTATAAAGACTGTCAGTGTGTAAAAGCCGTGGGTGAGGATCGGACAAGGAATAAATGGGATGTATATCTCGGATGGCCCGTTTGTTAGAATACTGCCACTGGATTCACATTGTGTTCATCAGAGAACAACGGAAAACAACCGATCAGAGTCGTCAGCTACTAGAATTCTCCTCTAGACAGCGGGTGGATAACTTAATCACCTAAATTACAAAAAAAGTGTGAACAGACAGAGTTTCGCAACATTTAATTACAAGGTAATGTTTCCTTCGGGAAACAATAGTTATTTAATAATCCGTTTAATAGAATCCAATGGAGCAACTGATTACTACACAAGGCCGTAAGACATGTCATTAGCCGTAACATGTACACTAGTTTTCGTTCATTTGATTTATTTGATAACTAAATCACTGTATACTGCTATTTTTGTGTGTATGTATCGCAATTTCGTAAGGAAAGGGTCTAAAAACCGACAATTTCTTTCATATATGATAAATGTATTACAAGTGAGATGATTAATAAAGAGAAAATTTACAAAATCAATACTTTCTCTGCAATGACGTTGACCGGGAGGTCTTTGTAGTCGCGTTCCAAATTTGCGATACTGGATAGATAGCTATATGTACTTCAGCCGCCATTTGGATATCAATTGTAGCGGCCGGTTTGATAAATAGTTTTCCATAGTTTCTTCAATCAGATCAATAGCAGGTGAATGCTGGAGCAGTGCTCCAACAAACAGAGAAGGAACCGCATGAGTACACTGCAAAAGCCTACCAACTGACCCTAAGCATACTTCATCATGATACATACGGTTTGTTCACATAACAACCCACATTATGTGCGTAATAAGAACTGAACCGAGAGCTCTTAACAGATCGCTAGTTTTATATAAATTTCAGCCATGTGATCTGTTATTTTGACACGAATTCTTGCTAAACTATATTAAATTTTCTCATACCTGTTTTTTTCTACATGCGTGTATTTTGGGGGACTGCGCTGATTATGTTATGAAACTGTGTTATATACCGTAACACAGTCTAGTATGTACTCTCACTCAAAATATCGTGTTTTTGACATAAACAGTAACGCGATAATTGGAATCCAAACGTTTTCATGTGAAAAAACGCACATTGTTTGTAGCAGTAGATGATGTGAGAGGGAAAATAGTGAAAACTCGGATTGGGATGTTTGAAAGCTTCTAAAAATTCAGTTCACATTTTGTTTCCACCCAGAAGTTTTATTAAGATTTCTCTTCTTCCAAGGTATCAAAAACTCTGTCCTTACAGTCAATCGATGCTTTGGCAATAGCTCTAAGTTGTGTCGAAGAAAAATTACTTCTTACAGACACAAATGATGAAAAATGGAAAGCAAATTCAATAGTTCTGCATTTGGGGAACGTTACAACCCAGCCGAGCGTTAGTTGAAACTGCAGTGGACTCGTTACTCACAAACTACCCTAATGACCTTCTGAGTATATAACACCTCATCGAGTCTAGGAACAATGTTTTAATATGCGGCGGTATTCTGAATACGGCCAAATTTGAAAAAAATTAAAAAAAGCCTTTATGTGAGAATTTATGCTTCTGAGTCCAACATGGTAAAGAAATACGACTTGTACTTTCTCACTACTGAGTACAGAGATGTACTCAAAGTTGTGCAATGCTGTCCGAAAAATAGGCGAATTTCTATCAGAAATCTTATTACAGGAACCTATGTAGTATTAAAATGTGAATAAATTCAGTGGCTAAATTTTGGGGAAAACTCCACTATCACTTGATGCATCTGGTATCCATATTTTAAGGGCTAATTATTCGAAAATTGCAAAAGTACAAAATTTGTTGGGTGTTTTCTTCAACAAAAATATTAAAGATAGATATTTTCCCCTTAATATCTGTTCCTTAAAGATAGATTTTGAAATAAGATCATGTACAATATTTTGAAAATATTATTATTATTATTATTATTATTATTATTATTATTATTATTATATACTTCGAGCTTTTCGTCTAATTTTGCGTGGAAATACGGGAGAGAAAGTACATGCTGCTTTAGCACCACTATAATATGAGGAACATCATGGTAGGCAAAAGCCACCGCATGGAATTACTCATCTGATATGCCAGAAAAAGCAGCGAACAGATCTTAAGATGTACACGTAAGCTTCCGCGGCTCGAATCCATAAATTCTCGGCTATCCGGGAGACGCCGAACGTTGAATGGGGTGCCGACGTTTCGCCTGACATGTCGCAGGCTTCCTCAGGGCAGGGACGAATTGGTCACGGGCAACGACGCGGCGTCTCCCGGAGAGCCGAAAATTTATGAACAGATCTTAAATTAAAACATCAGGTTTGTACATTTTTATTCTAAAATTTTCTCATGCATTTTTCGTTACTACTGTTTTGTTTACTACACATAGGTGAGGCAATAAAAAATTGACAAAAAAGATACAGCAGGTATCTACATTCACTCTTGTTAGATTGATTAAGGTATCGATGTGACTGAATGTGGCTCAGGGCATCAATTAATGTCACTTTAATGCCGCTGATCGGGAGGTCCTGAAGTTCGAGCCTCGACGATGGTAGGATTTTCGACTCTAGCTAGACAACAAGATCAAATATAACCGCTGTCTGGGGAAGAATTCTCGGGGCAAGCTGCTTTGAAGGGATGGTTTCTCCGATCAAGCAAATGCCGGAGCAGTACCTTAACAAACGGGTCACGTACCGCGCGTGATATTCCCTTAACGTTTATTGTACTACCCTCACCCTTTGCTTACAAACACATGTACGTGTGCTTACATGATGTACACTATCATACCTGATGGGAGACTAGTCGAAAGCTTAGAGCTTCTCCTGGCTGGAGCGGTCGGCACCTGGGATAGATATGGAAAACTGTCGTCCCAAGCGACAAAACATGTTATCGAGAAGAGAGAGAGAGAGAGAGAGAGAGAGAGAGAGAGAGAGAGAGAGGGAGAAAAATTTCTGATTGTTATTTCCCTTGACTACTTCCTGCTAGTACTGCCCTTTATATTTATTAAAGTGAATGGTTTGGTAGTGTGCATTGTTTTCGTGATTTTCTGTGAGTTTAAATGATTTGAGGAGTGAAAAGTAAAAATGTCTGCATTTATCTTTTATTAATTATGTAATAAGCACTATTAATTTACGAATATTGAAGCAGACCTACCATTAATAGCATAGAATGTAGTTAATTCAAGGTGTATACTTCTTTCCCGCAGATAACCTACAATTAATAGTAGCCATGTTGATTCAGGATTGTGTATAGTTGTAAGTGGGGACTTTGAATGTTGATGCTTCTAGGGACGTCCCTAGGTACATAAGCGTAGTATTAAATTTGAATTCATTTGGTTTCATGATGTAATCTGGCTTCGCGACGAAAAAAAGTACCTCAACCACCAGCAGAAACAATTAATAGTGCAGTTTTGACATTTGTTAAAGATCGTATGATAATTCGTTCTTCAGTTATAGTTAAGTTGTAAAAAAGGAATAACTTGAAAATCTTATTTTGCAATATTCACAAAAATTCACATATGATTCATTTATTCGAAATTGATAAAAGTTTTGCAACTTATGAACTTGACATGGAGGAATTTAAGTTAGGCTCCCTGACCCATCTCTATTTGGTTGTTCACAAAAGCAGCAAAAATGTCTTGTGTTTACTTTTTCCTTTCTGCTTAATAAGTGCTGTTATATTCTATGAAGTTGACATTAAGAGGACAGAACATAAGGTCCAGAACTAATCTGTACTTGGTTGTAATAATGGGCAGAACAAATTTACTTTCTATACATACTTCATTTTCGTTTAGATGAAAGATCCTTTTCTTCAATAAATTATATTATAATATTCTCTCCATAAAACTAAAACTTTCTGCTCTGTTCGTTTTCATGAGGAGTAGTTCACGTGTATTTTTTTACTTGTAGTTTTTTTTCACTTTTCATACATTGTCACTTGTAGTTACTTGTAATTTTCACTTTAGTGAAAACTTGTAGTTTATTTCACTTTCTTGTATTCACATTTCTTTTTTTTATTTTCCCCATTTTCTCCCAAGGTCCACAAAGAAATTATCCCCAAAAGAACCTTATAGAATGTTCTTAAAATTTGTTATTCCTACACGCAAAAATGCTGAGATGTGTAGCATCCCTAAGCACAAGAAGAGGGATATCTCCCGTAAGTTGTCATGTAGGTTGCCGCCAGGTCTCAGCAACTAGGAGGAAGCTAACGTTACCACCTCAAGTCGTAGAAAACAACCACGCAAACGAAACTAATGGCCATTGCACTAGGATATCTTGAAATATAAATCAATCACTCATGAAAATATACATTTCAAGAGAATTTTCGCAAATAAACGATTTATTATACCTTTATCGTTTTTCAAATGTAAAAACAATATTTACCGTCTGTCTTGATCAAACCAAGAATAGTGATTTTGAAACTTTTTCGTATTATTCTATGCATTAGTTGATGTTATTTATAATTGCTTCACGGGGAAAGAAAATATTCTTGTTTTCTATTCATGTTTGCGTTTCCTTATTTTTACTACATTATTGTTTTGTGAATCAATAATTTATTTGTTTTTTGATATTTTATAGCATTTATATTTGGCGAGAAACTGACAGCAAAACACGTATTATACCTCCAAGTCTTGTTACTTATTTTGTGTTATCTCTTACTTTGTTATATGTATTTCAATATTTCCGTTCTATATTTTCGTTCACGTTCAATTAATTGCATTTTATTTAATGTCTTTAACACTTACACACTTTTTCAGGAAGGACCCATGAGTGGCTACCAACGATGTAGGGATAAATTTCCGAATATAAACGGCAAGTATTTTATCAAAAAACCTTAATATAAAAACATATTCCTAGAAGGTGTGTAAAATTCTAAAAGTCTTGAATTGTAAAAGAGCAGAAATATAAATAACAATTATTATTCTACAATTATTCTTAGATAAATACTGAATTTCTTACTGTTAGATTATCTTACACTAATTGTTTATATGATGGATGGGTTCGTTTCTGAAAAATAAAATGTTGTAAATGTAAGATATGATTATATTTTTAAAATTATTAATAAATAAACATTAAAAATAGTAATTTCAATAAAAAACAAGTGTAACAGGCATGTCACATTTCGTACGTAGTGTGTAAAATATTTTTACAAAAACCTCAACTTTTAATTATGCGGCGCTTTTGTAATATAACACGTTATGAGTAATGTTTCCTGTCATTCAATTTGATTTTATATATTTAAAATGTTTTAGAAACTCAATTTCAAGAAGAAGAACTCAAAGGAGAAGTTACAAACGACACAAAGGTAATACAAGTATTTATATGTGCATCTGAAAATCAAAGAGAGAATTTCATTAAAATATTGTTTTCTTATTTGTTTCAGTGCTTCTTACACTGTGTGCTTGAGTATGAAAATATAGTAAGTTATTTTTTATCTAATTTACTACCACATAAGATTCACGCATTTAAAATTATCAGGGTGCTAAATAGACGATTTCAAGCTATTCTTCGTTCCAACCGAATTGAAGCGCGTGTATTTTTGATTTTCGCGTCTCAATATAGTCTACTAAAACTTCCACAATGAATATCTTTAACAGTTGTTTGCCATTGCCACTCCGGTACTCAGAAAACACCAACATCGGAGCTAAAATTGAAATATGATTTTAATGATAATAATAATTAAAATAATAATAATATAATCATAATAATATGCAGTATAGATAGTAGATATAGTAAGTAGTATGTAATAGTAATATACGTAATAGTAACTGTAATAGTAACAGTAATAGTAACAGTAATAAAGTAATATCCAGTAATAGAACAGTAAATAGTAACAGTAAATCGTTACAGTAAATAGTAACAGTAATAGTAAACAGTAATAGTAACAGTAATAGTAACAGTAGTAGTAACAGTAGTAGTAACAGTGTAGTAACAGTAGTTGTAACAGTAGTAGTTAACAGTAGTAGTAACAGTAGTAAGTAACAGTAGTAGTAACAGTAGTAGTAACAGTAAGTAGTAACAGTAGTAGTAACAGTAGTAGTAACAGGTAGTAGTAACAGTAGTAGTAACAGTAGTTAGTAACAGTAGTAGTAACAGTAAAGTAGTAACAGTAGTAGTAACAGTACAAGTAGTAAGTAGTAGTAACAGTAGTAGTAACAGTAGTAGTAACATAGTAGTAACAGTAGTTAAAGTAACAGTAAGAGTACAGTAGTAGTAACAGTAAGTAGAACAGTGTAGTAACAGCTAGTAGTAACAGTAGTAGTAACAGTAAGTAGCAACAGTAGTAGCAACAGTAGTAGCAACAGGTAGTAGCAACAGTCAGTAGCAACAGTAGTAGCAACAGTAGTAGCAAACAGTAGTAGCAACAGTAGTAGCACAGTAGTAGCAACAGTAAGTAGCAACAAGTAGTAGCAACGTAATAGCAACAGTACGTAAGCAACAGTAGTAGTAACAGTAGTAGTAACAGTAGTAGTAACAGTAGTAGTAAACAGTAAAGTAGTAACAGTAGTAGTAACAGTAGTAGTCAAGTAGTAGTACAGTAAGTAAGTAACAGTAGTAGTAACAGTAGTAGTAACAGTAGGTATAACAGTAGTAGTACAGTAGTAGTAACAGTATGTAGTACAGTAGTAGTAACAGTAGTAGTAACAGTAGTAGTAACAGTAAGTAGTAACAGTAAGTAGTAACAGTAGTAGTAACAGTAGTAGAAACAGTAGTAGTAGTAGTCAAGTAGTAGTAGTACGTTAGTAGTGGGTAGTAGTAGTAGTGTAGTAGTAGTAGTAGTAGGTAGTAGTAGTAGTAGTAGTAAGTAGTAGTAAGTAGTAGTAGTAGTGGGTAGAGTAAGTAGTAGTATAGTAGTAGTAGTAGTAGTTATAGTAGTAGTAGTAGTAGTAGTAGTAGTAGTAAAGAGTAGTAGTAGTAGTAGTCGTAGTAGTAGTAGTAGTAGTAGTAGTAGTTAGTAGTAGTTAGTAGTAAGTAGTAGTAGTAGTAGTAGTAGTAGTAGTAGTAGTAGTAGTAGTAGTAGTAGTAGTAAAGCCTTGGGGAACTCCGCCGGATCTCTGTAATGGTTGAGCAATAGGTATCAACTGAAAATGTTAGCACAAATAGGAATCTAGCTAATGATTACATTCATTAGGTTCTTGAATGTATTTACTACCACTGGCTTTTAATAGTGTTCGATGCCATATTCTGACAAAGCTCGCGAAATGTTTATTAGTACAGCGTTGGTATGTTAATGCAAAGAAAATCAAAACAGTGTACAAAATGTATGAAAATATGTGCTCATCTCACAGAAAGCTTCAAAGATCTTCGTTTTATATTGTAATAATTTCAATTTTATTGGTAGGAAAAATGGAAGATCAGTAACTTGAGTTGATATTACCAATATGTGATTTGAATTTGGGTGAAGTAGGTTGCGGGAATTAATTATGTTGTGAGATTAACTGATGTTTAACACTACTGAAATTTTGGACCCGACAAAATATACTTTTATTAACTTTCTGTAGCAATGAAGAACATTCAATATCTCCTGAAAACAGCAAAAATAACTATACATCTTTACAAATAAAGATAAATTTAAATTCAGTCAAATTAAAAATTCCTTACACAAAAATATCTATCTTTGCTCACAGATTTTAACTACTTAGCAAAAATCTGTTACGAACATAAATCTTTGGTTCTTGAATTCGGGAATTAGTTGGTCTGATGGTGGATTTTATTTCATTCCAGAATTCAGTATGATCTTTTATATTTGTATAAGCAAAAAATGGTGGAATTAATTTTTTTATTGAGGTGATTCAAGATCTTTTCAAACATCCGACTAAATCTCATTTCTATTAATTATTATTGTTTTCCAAATTTCTCTTCGAGGTGACGAAGACTAGGGTGCCCACGGGCAATCGCGAAAAAGGTGTTTTGAATGTCTATTATAGAAGTTAACCCAAGTCGCCTTCTTTTAGACATTACCTTCTTTAATTGTGTCTTTGGAAGTGTTGAAGAAAAGAAATTATGGGTGTGATACCACTAGCATGAATACTTTTGCCAGTCTGATGATTCACATATGTGTGAAATGTTGTAATTTGTGTTCCGTGGGTTTGTCCGAGGACACGAGATGTTCTAAGACCATTAAATGCAAAAACTCCCGACACCAAAGTAAATATCCTCCACCTAACCCACTTATTAATTCCAACTGTAATTTTTTTCTGAACAAGGCCATAGCATTTTACAAACATATTATCCGATCTTCGTATGATGTATGCGTCCCCTATTTGGATCACCTCTTCGAGAACTAATTAAAACAAAATCCAATCGTTGAAAATAAATACCTGAGAATAATTATAATGACCCCATAGTTTGTTTCAAATTTACAGATGAGCAGAATAATTAAAAATCTCATACTTAATTCCATTCATTACCAAATTCTTCAGTAAATTTTTTCATGTATCAACCAAATCGAACATCTATCCCAATTTAACCCTGCCCAAATCACAGATTCCCCGACAAGAATTAAAAACAGCTTTCCAATTAAAGTATTTTTTAACGTTCAGCTGGAGGTGGAGAATAAGTAAGGGGCTTTATGAGTTTCCTTACCATTGAGTAGTTGGATTTATAACGAAGCACGTTTATTAAGGTTAATTTAAGTCGCCAAAAAATTGCACATGCAAAAGTACAGTAGTACTGATTTATGTACTACCTTGTTATTTTAATGATTATAAAATGAAAATGGCGAGATGTCCTCAATAAAGTTCATGATGTCTTCAGCGTGCGCCTTAATTGTTCGATTTCCCGCATTTATTGATATATTATAATATTTTATTATGCACTTACCCTGCGATTTATTAAAAATCTTCGTAGACAAATGGTGATGATCTGATCACTACTATGACTTTTCACATTAGTTCTGCGAACGTGATCTTCGTTAACCAGGTGCACAGAATGAAATGAACACTTGTATAACCTTATTTACTAGGCTGTCCGGGTGACGCCCCGTCCATGGCGAAGGTGCCGACGTTTCGGTCGCCTTTCTGCGACCTTCCTTCCTGATTTACTATTGGAAGGTCGTGGAATGGCGACCGAAACGTCGGCACCTTGGCCATGGACGCGGCGTCACCCGGACAGCCTAGTAAATACTGACTCCGGCCGCGGAAGCCTACGCTCTCACTTGTGTAACCTACCTGGGAAAAGGTTTTTGATAGACGTTTTCAAACAAATTCAAGGGTAAATCTGCTTTGTTCCACTAAGTCATCTGGGAGTTTAAAGAACGTTTCATGTGTCAGTAATACCTATTACTGGATAAATTAATATAACTGTTCTTATATGATAATGATAATAAAAATTAATCTGAACAAAACAATGCAATACATCTTCAAGAATGTATAAAACGTTTTTATATTTTTTCACAGATGTCTGGAAATACAATTAATACAACTGCACTTAATTCGGTGTTCGATCATCATGAAGATAAATATAAAAGTGAAATGATTGCAGCCGCAAATGCTTGCCTGAAAGAAAAAGGTATGTTATTTTCGCAACTTCAATTAAAAAGCAAAAATAATTACAACAGATACACAGTAATTCGGGGTCGAGGCTATCTCTTGGTCAGCGCGCACACTTTTCACTACGCAGTCCCGGGTTCGATTCCCGGTCAAGCCAAGACTATAGTGTGTGTTTTCCTTTCACTGTCCCAGTGCTTGTTGCTGCGTGATAAGAAAATTCACTTCTCAGGTTGAGAAGCCCGGAGTATGGCGTGGGGATGTCTACGTGCTAACCACACGTACCCCCTTAACCCATGGCCGCGAGGCAGGGACGTTGCCGGTAGGCCGGAGCCTGGGCTGTCGCGCCAAATACATACATACAGTAATTCAGTGCAGAGGCGTTGGTGCGGACGATCTTCTGTGGCGCCGTTTGATTTCAGGTGCTGAGGAGGCCAAGCACTGAAAGGAGACGGCGGGACGCCCGCGCCAGAAAATAAATAGTTAAAATAATCGTCGGATGGATTAGAATGTACTCGGCTTCTGACGGCAGGTTTTTCCCCCTTCAGGGTTTTTTTCCTGAGCCGTACCTTGTGGTCTCTTTTACGCGGCTTTGATGCGATGGAGAGACCATTTGGGGTGAATACCAGAATTCGAAAGATTAGTACGCGAAAGGATGTAGGTATTGTAATGGCTTAAAGGCCTTCGGCCTAGCCACATAGGATCAAGCAATCTAATTTGTTTGTAATAATTACCTATTAAATAAATAAAAATTCAGCGCATTTACTTGTACATACTAAATCATAAAAAATGGACATGCTCCTCGTTTTATACGTTTTCTTTTAAATATACGTTCGTAAATAATGTCTACAAGTAAATGTATGAGTGAGTAAATTTGGATTTACGGGATATTAGGGTGCGTCAACCTTGATATGTTTAGGGCATGATGTATTCCGAGAAGAATCAGTGTTCCTCTTCAGGTTTAGAAATGAGAACCTTCATGAGATCCGGTGCCGATCTACAAGTCCGATCGCGGATTTTCCACCATTCATTTCTTCTAAGTAGGGGACCGCTGGTGGTGCGTTGGTTACCGTGCTCGCCTTCCACGACATAACTCCGGGTTCGATTTCCGGCCGTGCCCAAAATTAACTGTGCACTCTCCTTACAATGTCCCATTATCTGTTGCTGTGTGACGATGAGAAATCTCACATCTCAGGTTGGGAAGACCATAGATACGGCGTAGGGATGGCCGTGTGCTAATCACACGTATTCCTTAACCTATAACCGTAAGACCGGGACGCCTCTGGTAGGCCTTAGCTCGTAAAGAGATGAAGTGCCAAAGTACATAAATATTGTGACGTCATGGATACTCACAGCGACCACAGACACAGAGCTTTCGTATAACAAATATATTTATTAACAAGAAAACAAACAAATATATACACTTAATAATCTACTTACACCCTACTCTGATAGACCTACTATCGCCTGATCGCGGCGAGCGATCCAAACCCGATTGAAGATGTTTTGATTCCGCCATTTCTACTTTTGAAGCGGCACAAAGCCTAGCTTCCGTGACCGGATGTCACGCTGGGAACAACAAAGTCCGTTCTGGCGCACCAACGGGCTGTTTGCCTCGATCGCAGGAGCGCTCCTTCATTCGATTGACGATCGGCGGTGAAATCGTGGCACTCAACCAACTCTTCACCTCGGAAGGACGCACACAGCATCGGCTCCCCCGTGACCGCAGTCACCAGGACATAATGTCCCGCAGGCTTTCGTCAACTAATGACTCCAGCCTCGCGAGCCTGGCTCGCATATGCACCGGGTCTTGGGCGCCAAAGTTTTGTGGCACAACGCACGAGGTTCTTCACGTCTCCGAACCTGCCTACTGGCTCCGTACCCTCCTGTTATATAGGCAGGCCGCACCGTGACCTCCTACGTCACGCCACCCCTCGCTTTGTTATAACAGTGAAAGCTTCCTATAAAGCCGCGAAAGACCACCCCCCAAAGCCTTGGTGGTCCTGCCCGTCTCCGCGTTCTTCCCTTTACGGGAAAAACCCTTCTTCCTGTGGGCGAGACTAATTCCGCTCCCAAGCGTCCCCAAATAGATGCCATGAGGCACGCTGGCTAATACGTTACAATATATTTCTCCTAAATGCGCTTCCCCGCAGCACGGAGAGTCTTTAAACTTGCTCTCCGGACATTGTGAAGTGTTAATGTAAGAAAAAAATTGAAAAAGGGAAATTTTGTTTTTCTATATATTCATAATTCTAAAAATTCTTCAAAAAAATCATAATAACATTGCATTCATATGACTTTATCCATTTTACCCTTCATTTTAGACCCAGCTGATGGTTGCAACACAGCATACAAGTTTTCACTTTGTGTTGATGACGCTACAAGAAAGGTAAGTTCGTTGACACATTGGTCAACTTTTCATTATATTCATTATTTATTTGATTAAACTACAAAATTTAATATAATAATAACCATATCTGAAATAAACATTATAAAGCTATTTAACTTATGAACGTTTTATGCATTATAATATTCAGAATTACCACTTACATTATCCATTTATCTCAGTCATACCCTGTCAATTATAGGATTTTTTAAAATATTGATATCAATACAAGTATATTTTCTTAATAAATAATCTTACAAATCCCGTCTCTTGATAAGAGATACATATGTTATAGAAATTTAAATGTAAAGTGAAATAGGATATTTTGTCAAATGGTAATATTGGTTTCATTTTCAACTAGGACTACAGGGTACAGAAATAAAAATTAAAATATCGCCTTTTAAAACCAAATGTACGTTATCATGTTGAATTGTTAAAAACCTTAGTAAAACAAATTAAAAAGATCTTGAGAAAGTATAAGGAAGGCAGAGTGGATATTCAATTGTGCATGTTCCAGATTGTAAATTATAATTGTTGTTACTAGTTCATAACCAAAATATCATTCCAAATATCATTGTTTCAGATTCGAAAACCTGCAAATGAACCAAGTGCTCCAGTATCTTTAGTAGAATCACTCTACTAAACGAAACTATTCTAGCATAAAATTCATTCAACGTAACTTCATCCATGTTGTAGAAACATCAGTGTTCACAATGTTCAAGAAATAAAATTTTCATGATTACAGATTAACTACAAATATGTGCTACCTTTTATTCCCACTCCACGGGTATCTCACTGGTCAGCGTGATCGCGTTCCATAACAAGATCCCAGGTTTGATTCTCCATCGGGACACTTATAGTGTGTGCTTCCCTTGCAGTGTATGTGTTGCTGTGTAATGAAAAATCTCACATCTGAGACCAGAATACGGCGTAAGGATCTCTATGTGCTAACTACACTTGGCCCTTAACCCATGGCCACAAGGGCGGGTCGTCGCTGGTTGGCCCCGTCAAGAGCTGTTGTGCCAGTATAGACAGACATTTTATTCTCGTACCTTGACAAAAGGAGATAGTCTTAAAGTAAGTGAAGTATATCGTCTGTTGCATTCTGGAGTAGATGATGTAGGCTTAAAGGTCTCGCCCTCCGGTCGTAAAGCGTCCTTTATGCCTGTCTGAATACCACAAACAGCGTGAAACATCAGGTGATAAATGTAATTATTGGTGAAATTGAAAAAAAAAATTAAACAAGACATTCTATGTATTACTTTATAATAAAATAAGCACGCGAATGTTTTCGCATTAATTCTTGCGAACACTATTGTTGCTGTCTGTTCTCATAATTCAATTTTATATGTATATGGATTAGTGGAGGAATATCTGAGCTTTCCCCATAATACGTCACACACATGTTTACCCGTTTTGACATAAAAGAAGTAAACAAACATTAGTACTTCCGTATCCAACAAATTAACTACTACTAATTAAACCTGAAATCCCTCACAAATAAGTGTTAGTAGTAACGAAGAGGAAATATTTTCTAAATACTTACGTAAGCTCTCCAGTTTTCAAACGAGTGGTACACAATCGGCTACTCTTGAAACAACACACAGCACCAACAGCAACTCATCCACACCACATACTTTCCGCGAGAATACCTCCTACAAGCACAGTTTCTCACCCGTTAATTGCTTGCAACCTAAAAGTGATTTTATAAATGGAATTACCCAAAAACTTCGGTAAAAGCGGAAACCTTTCATATCTCTTTACGGTAACTCGTGCTCAACTGAACCATTCTAGTAATCTTCTCTCGTCGCTGCTCAGAGCACATTTACTTGAAAGACCTACTACGGAATTCATTTTGTCACGGAACTTGCATCATATTTTATACGCACTTTGAGTTTCGGACTGCAGAGAGGAAATCTGTAAGCTCCATTACTTTCTGCAATTGAATTATTGGCATTGTCCGCGTACGTTTTCGTCAGCCTTCGTTTGCTAGATGGCAGAAAAGTGAAGGCTGGTTATTCCTATCACAGGTCTTTTGTATTCAATTTGTAACTAGTTTTATTTACAAAATAGGTTTTATTATACTGGAGCAAATATTTCTGTTAGTATGATTTTGTTAATAAGGTGTGGGGCAAACACATATTCTTAATTCAACTAATGTTAGTAAAGAAGGGGAGATAGGAATTCCGGGGGTTGAGAAATCGTCAGCTTATTACACAATGACACTATTAGCGTTGAAATATACTTACATAGTATCGCAAGTCTGTTGAAATTAAGCGGAAACTGCTGATTTTATGATAAAAATCAAAATTATTATCAATCGAACTAGCAATCTCTAATAATTGTATAAAGATGGCAATCTGTGCAACTATAGAAGCAAAACGAGTTTTGAACTTACACTCTTATTGTATTAGTATAATTTTTCCAATATAAACATTGCAAATTCCATTGAACTTGTGAAAGTTAATGTTGTTTTTGTTCTCGTGAAATATTATACTTGGAATGATCAACGTCGTTTTGTACCTGAAAACTCATAATGTTTCATATTTCATTGCATCAAAATTAGCTGCTAAAAATAAATAGTATTTACGTTCTCAAACAGTGTAAACAAATATATATATATATATATATATATATATATATATATATATATATATATATATATTCTGTTGGAATATAATCAATTAAATCCGTTCCAACTATTGACAGATAACTACCAAAAATAAACTAAAATTCTTCAACTAAAATTTAAGGAAAGAAACTGAAAACTCATGAAATTTGGGGAGGTGACGATCCTCATTTTAACATTTTTTACATTCAACGGTCATTTTCACAACTATGAAGTTCCATACAACTGCCAAAACATTTTTTTCAATTTTCTTTTTCTGCGTTATGACCGAAAATTTGGGAATGACGTGGTTTCGACAGATTCACGTTACGACTGTCATTCATTAGTTTGAAATGTGACGTTCCTTCAACTGCGGCTATCAGGAAAGACCGCGTCATTCGAGTGAGGTCAGTAGTTCATCCATGTGCATATCGGCAGTGCGTATCTAACTGTGCTCCGAGGACAACCTGAATGGACAGTTGCTCGAACGGCGGAAGGAAAACTTAAAAGGTTACGTACGGTGTCAGAGAAGTTAATTGTAAGTTATAACATTAACACGTTTGATGTAATTGGTCTCGTTGAAACTTGGTGGAAGTAGGGTAAAATGTTAACTGTGTCTGGTTTTAAAGCCATATGCAAAAATAAAAAACGGAGAGGAGAAAGGGGTCGGTACCCGGGTGG